AAATTCTATTGAAATTGGGACCGGAATTAACTTCAGTGATCATTAGTGCAGCATTTAGCACATGGCCTCCCTACACTGTTGCAGTGAAACTCCTAATAAATTAATAGTTAATGATAATCTCCTGGAGACCCCTGATAACAAGCCTCAGCAAACCTCGGGGTAACTTTCCACGTGGCAACGCTCTGCTGCTCGGAGTTGTGCTGTGTGTGAGGCTGTGAAAGGCGCAGCAGACCCCCTGACCACCCCATCAATCTTCACTTGCATTTCCATAAATGCTGAGATCTCCTCTCTGCACTCATTTTGCCGCTGAAGTGCAGAGAGGCCCTGTATTAATGCAGCAGAGCAGGGCACTGCTCGGTTTCACTCTGCAGCCTGGTTTGCCTGCTCTCCAACCTGCATTGAGGCCTGAGCCCCAGGAAAGTGCCCGCTGTGCCCAAAGCAGAGCTGGAAGCAGAGAGTGCTGCGCCGTGGGAGGAACACGGATCCATTCGGGCAACCGAGCGGCTGCTGCGAGGGCTTCCCAGCTGACACTGCTGCCCAATCATCTAGCAAAGAAAGACGGGAAATTACTAAAGCTTCCCCACCGCTGCCATCAAAATCAATTAATATTTCCCACAGATTTGACAAAGAAAAGAAATAGATGCTAGCACTTAAAAGACAGGAAATGACAGAAGGAATATTATCACTGAGATCTTATGTCAGCTGCATTTGTTGCTGGCTGTACTAAAGCCTGCATCACACAGCAGATGCTCGTCCCTGACACAAGACAGCACCTACCAGGTTTTCAGTCATTGTTACAGAGCCTGGGACAAGCAGTTCTTTAAGGAAAAGCACAAGAATCAGTGTGTGACTTAGAATTACAGGTAAAGTTACAAGTCACTGAAAAAAATGACGATGCACCAGGTATCCTCAACACACCATTCACATCAGCCACCTGCAATGCTGCTTTCCTAGCAGGTGAAAGAACATATTTTGCCCAGATTCACCTCAGATGGTTGTTCAGCAGCTCAGTAGGAACTGGCACCTCCACCTTGATCATCTAGGAGCTTGGTTCTGTGGGACATCAGTCATCTCACATTTGGTCTGGCTCATGTTCACATGCAGGGAAACAAGATCCTATTGCTGCTGAGTCTGCTCCTATTGCTGCTGTTTGCTCTTTGGAGTGTGATGCCAAGGCTGGGCACCCACTGGGCTGCGCGTTGATTCAAGCACTTTATTCAGGTCCTTAACCCGCTGTTCTTACAGGTTATCGGCAGTGAAGGGTCAAAGCAAACCACACACAAAGCATGCAAGGAGATTGAGAAGAAAGGCTTGTTGGAAATGTCTGTCACCTAGCTGAGTGATCATGCTGCAATAAAAACATGCAGGAATTATATGAAATTATTAGTAAAGAAGACCAGCCAGGCTGCTGACATTGCTAAATCAGTGGTGTAAGCATTCTGCACAGCGAATAAAGCAAAATAAAGATCAAAGCCTACAATGTGCCAAAGAACAGCTGGCTTAATGATTACAGAGATCTTACTGAAGATCTGCTTCCAGTGCACTGAAACAAACTTAATTAGTGCACCCTGCCCCTGCCTTAACTGAAAATACTGGAATCGGAAGTTTTTTTATACTTTCAGAAAACAAAACACTTGAAGGAAGAGTACAAGTTACTTTAAAATAAGGCATGCTTAAAATCAGTTGATTTCTTAAATTACGGTGTATTTAGTTCTTCATTAAATAAAGCTAGAAATAAGACATTAAACTAGAAAGTCATTATACTACGACCTTTAGAAGAGAGATCTTTATGTCCTTCAATTTAAAAAAAATCTTACTAGACTGAATGACAAGTTCTACTTTACCATGAAGAAACTAAGATAAATTATACTTTTTCAACTGAGATAAAAACATTAAATCAAACTTAAAAATTCCCCAACTTCATCCTCTTTGCTATATCTTCTTTTGGATATCTTCCTAGTGTTTCCTTTTCAAAAAATCCATTAATTTCAACATGCCAGCCATTGTGAGGTTTAAATCACTGTAAAAGTATTTTTAAATCAAGATCTAACGTCTTTTGCAAATCTATATTTTGTTTTCCTCAAGCAAAAGGAGGAAGGGGAAATACTGAAATCACTGGAAGAATCATAGATATTAACTTTTTTTTTTCTGAATCATTTTTTATTAAAAATCAATAGAAAACCTGTCACTGATTTCAAATGAGTTACTACTACACTGGCTGTTCATGTGCAAGAAATTAATACAGTGAAACAAAACACTGTTTTGCTCAGTAGAGTTCTAAATATCGCAAGAAAGAAGAAGAAAAAAAAAGAAGATTTGGTAAAATCCAGCAAATCTCCTCAGTGTTGATTAATACAGAGTTCCCAACCTAGCTTATGCCGCACAGGAATTGTTGTATATACTATGATGCTATGATGAAAAGGATTGAAATATTACTGAATTTAGCTCTAATTTAGTAATATGTAATAGTACTAGTCTATTATGAAAGCACTATTATGAAAGTACTAGCACTATTTGAAACCAGTAAAAATGAAAAGCTACAGATCAAATGCTTCAGGACAAAGAACTTCCTAAGGAGTTTTGTTTAGAGGCTGATTTTACTTCTGAATAACGCCCATGTTTCCTTGTTCACTCCAGTTTGCCTGAGACTGTCAGGCTGAATTAAAAGCTGCAAAAGTGTTATTTGCCCATACTGTGTTATGCTTGAGATTCTGAGCTTTACCTCTATATAAGGTCCAATTCTTTTTGGAGAAACTACATATATTCTTAGTCAGCACAAAGAGTAATGAACAACAACAACAAAGGGCTTTATTCAGATTTGTTAATGTGCCAACAACAACAACAAAGGGCTTTATTCAGATTTGTTAATGTGCCTTCTTTTGCATGAGAAGTGAGAGACTATGGGGAAAAAAATTAAAGCAGTTTTAAGTGACTTATATGTTTTTCACCAATTTATTCTAAAAATTGGAGTAGAATTTAAAATCAACTCGTTCTTTAAGCTTATTTTTTAAGTTTGTTTTACCAAATAAACACCCCCAGCTCAACAACCTGCTGTAACTCAACCGTAACAACAAAACAGGAGTAGCTTTGGTAAATAGACTGGGGAGAAGGGAAAAAAAAGAGGCAACATGTTGTGTGAGTGCAGCACAAGCTTGCAAAGGACTTCAGCTTGTCAGTGGAGGGTATCTAAGTGAAAAAATCTTTACGCAGAAAGAGGTCCCCAAACCACTGTGACTGGGCTTGCAGTGAGCCAGTAATGTGGGAATGCTTCCAAAAGTAGCAAGAGTCAGATGGTAAGGGAAAAAATTTGCACGAGACAACATCATTAAAGAACTTACTGTTGTATTTCTTACATCACACACTCCAGGAGGGGACCAACTAACTCATCTGCGACAACTTCTAGGCGGAGAAGAGGAGAAGAGCGAGGGAGGAGGCGCAAGGGGCTGGCACTGCTGTGGAGGAACCTTCAGACACAAGGCATAGCTTGACCATAATCTCCTGCAGCCCAAGATGTGCTCAGTTTACTAACTCAGAGGAATCGCTTTATTCATTATAATAATTTGGAAGCTATTCATATTAAAACATCAAATGTCATCTTCTAAAATATTTCAGGGGAAAAAGTTGTCATTACCTCTAAGGACGGCCTACAGCAATGCTTCCAAACAGAAGAGAGAAACAAGGGAGTTTTGGAAAAAAATTCCCTAGGCCACTAACTAGGCCACTGTATGATAGCACAGGGAAGGAGAAGGGGAAAATGCACTTGGTCCTTTAGGGATTTAATTTATGCAAAAATGAACACTGTTGCCAGCACTGGCTAACTGTAATGAGAACTATATGTTGGTTCATTAACCCAACACACATAACCCCACCTTAATAAAGACAGATCCTTTTCATTATAATGGCATCTAAGCTCCACATAACTTTACAAACTTCTTGAACAGTGATCCTGAGTGCAGAAAGAACCTGTACCTATGTCTTCCCCATAAAGCTGGATGCCGAAAACTGCGCTGTTCGCCAGTCCAGTGACAAACACATGCAGCTGTGAGAGGGTGAAATTCTGTTTCCTACATCCCAGATTAATAGATCTGATGATAAGCTCATTCTCCAGGAAGGAAATGGGCAGCCTCTCAACTTCCACCAGTTTCACTGTGATGGACAGGTGGATGATACAAGGTTGTACTGCCTGTTACCAGCTAGTAAATCACTTAGATGTATCAACTGCCACACACAAGATGCCACAGTAATGAAAGCTTATAGCAGGGAGGGAGGCACAAGGTGGTTGGAGAACAAGTGCAATAATTACTTCAGCATTAGGACTTCATTTGACTGGAAAATGAGTAATCACCATCACAATATTATACCGAAGTGAGATTTCCGGGCATTTATCACTCCTAAAGAAATGAGTTATAGGGATTATTTATTCTTACAAATAGTTACTGGAAGATTTGGCATTTAATACCGAGCAAGCCTGCAGACTAAAATGACTGCATGATAAAGGCATTCTTTTTTTTCCTGTTGGAATGAGAGCACAAAGGGCTAAACGATGTGAAGATATCAGAAATCTTCAAAAGCAAAATAATTTTTTTACTTGATTCTTTAGTGGCATAAGATTCCCAGTGCAAGCTTGCTCTCAGATGCAGACAAGCTGCTGCCTATGCATTCGTCCAATATACACTTGGTTAGAAAAGTAAACTCCTAATTTTAGTGAAGATTAAAACTGAGTGAAGTCATAATCCATGTACTAAAGCTGTTCTGTTTATCCATATATTGACAAGCTGTTGCTTACTCTAGAATTGCACAGGAAGCCTTTAAGCCCCTGTACATTTCCATGTTTACCTAGCTGATATATTGCCAAGTTCTCATTGCATGGCTTGCTTCAAACAGGGGAGCATGGGGAAGGAAATATTCAGCTTTAACTTAGGTCTACACCAAGCCAGTTACTTCAAGCGAGCACAAAGCCAGGAAATCATGAAGACAAAGTGAAATGAGTTTCAACTTACGGTTAAGTGCTGAAGAGGTGGAGCACAGAACAGCCTCCTGATGCCATTTTCAGCAATTAGTCCAAGCCAATTAAAGGTTCCCCAGTACCAAAGGTAGCTCTGGCCTCCATGCCAATAGCTCACAAAGGCAAAAGTGAGCGCTGAGGAAAAGAGCATCCCGAGCGTGCTAGCCTGAGATCCTCCTACTGGGATGTAAATGTACCTGTAAGTGAAGTGACAGACACACCGTGTGATTAGAGCTTTCATAAAAATCTCACAAAAGCATCTGCTGAAAAATACATTTGTTTTTTACACTACTTCAGGAAAAAAAAAAAAAAGCTGATTGATTACCTGACATTCTCTATTTCTACTGCTTGCCCTAGTTTTGCAAAGGTGTGGACTATTTCACAAAATATTTGCACACACCATTTTGCAAAAAGACTATTTTGTAGTCAAGGAAACTGCAGTAGGCAAATGTAGAAGATAAACATTCTCAAAATTGTGCAGGGCAAAGATTCATTTTTTAAAACTGCAGTAGTTGTATGTCAGCTTATGCACACAGAAAATACAGGCAAACTACCTCATGTAAATTTAGATTGAAAGACTCTTAATGACAAAATTTGGAACATTACAAAAGCATATTACATTGGCATAACCCCCAAAAGGTCTTCGTTGTGTCAGAAAGGTGGACACATTCATAGAGACTTTACTTTTAAAAGCTTATTATTTCTTTCTTTTTAGAACTTACATTACAAATTGTATTAAACTAAAAATACTTTCTCCCTAGTTATTGAATTGCACTCTCAGGATCATACCTGCACAATGACATTCACAGCACATGTACCAAACATTAAAAAAACGAACTTGTAGTGAAGAATTGAATTTACACTGAATGCAGGAGTCAGAACCATGGCCTTTGCTTGATTTATTTTAAGTGTTCAGGAAACAGTATTTGTTCAATGAAAGCTGCAGAAGCAGTGCGACTGTGAAAGCTGATGCTGTTTTCTCATCATAGGACTTGATCACTCACTTTGCTTCCCTCTTGCCCAGAGGGCTGCATGCACTTGTGGCAGCTGGCCATAACGGCCACTAGCCAGGGTTTAGTTGAGAAAGTTGAGAGTTTCTGTTGATACCCTGAAGCTCCTCATCATGCAAAGAAGTGACCATTCTGCTCACAAGTACCTCTGCTGAACACACCAGACATTAAGACTTCCCAGTACAAATCTCCTTAGCAAATCTCTTTAATCCCTTCATTTCTTCAGCATCACACACTGTACTACGACACTACTCTTAATTGCTAAGTTATTTTTTTTCCAGAGAAATTTTTATCCCTGCTACACAACTTCAATTACCTCAAAAGTTTTTAAGTAAAGTCAATATAGCCTTTTATTCCTAACCTTTGGAAGCAACAAAGCACTACATCGGGGGATAAATTAAATGAGAAATTAAGGGCCAAATGCGAAAGTCATTCAAAATAAAATTTTAAATGCTTTAAATTCTCTCTAGCTGTAACATTAATATACTTTTTCCTTCCACTCACTACAGGGAGAATCAGATTACATTTATAGCGACTTTCAGTTTAAATGTATTTTTATTGAGTCTGTGAAAATAAATACAAATCAATGTTCATTGCTGTCTGTATACATTGTGTTGTTCTTGTCTTTCTCCTTATTTTCTTCTCAGGTCTTATTACACACATGCATAGAACTATACAGGACAGTGAAGGATGAAGAGTGACCAGTCACCTGCGCTGCTCCTCCAGGAGCTTCATAGGTGTCCCAAGAAATCACTTCTACCTATAGAATTGGGGACCTCTCAGGGCACACTTCTCAATTCCTCCCCTCTTCCTTAGAAGCATTTTGTGAAAGGGAATATAGGAAAGGTGGCTGTTAAAGACATGTATTTCACTTCCCAGGGTGGCAGGCTACAGCAGACTCAGGCACCCTCACAAAAGAAACATATCTCCCTTACTAAAGGCCCTAAGGAAATCTTTTTCCTGAACTTGCAAGGTACTGGGTTGCAGCACACAATGTAGCTTTTGCTGCAGGAGTAGCTCCAGTTTTCCGTACAAAACACTGCCTGCCTCCCCTGCAAGATGAAAGCTGTTGCATAGATACCAGCCAAGGTGTCAGCACAAGCAGCTCCGCTTGTCACCAGTGCCGGCAGTAACAGGCTCGGGAGCGTCACGATGCTATTCGGCCACTGCAGCTCCTCTTAGCTTGGTCTGAACAGCTCTCAGCGCAGAGGAAACTAGGCTCTTTTCAGATTTGTAGTGTTTAACGACAGCACTTAGTTAATTGGGCAGCACTAATTCAAATTCTGGTGAATGTTTCAGGTCAGGGAAATTCTGGCTCCTAGTGAGGCCTGCGGCAATCACGCACTTGCCAATTTGTTTGTACTCGCCTTGTAAAGACAGGCCAGGGAAAGCCAAGAAGCTAAATGCTATCATGAAATATACCCGTTAATTAACATCTTGACCTTTCCTCGCGTGCTGTGGAGTATGTGCCTCCCAGGCGGGAGCGGGGAGCAGGAGGCAGCAGGCAGAGCCTCCCCTCGCGGGGCGCGGGGAAAGGCCGGCTCGCACGCCTCGTGCCCGGGGCGCCCGCCGCCTCGGCGCTCGAGCCTCGCGCTGTCACAGCGGCTACTGGCCCTTCCGAGCCATTTCTTTCGAGACAAGATATTCTGTCTGGGCACGTGTTATCTACAGAGGAAAAAAATAACTCAAAATCTATCAATACATTACAGACTCCGTCTTGATCACATCAGAAAAAAAGCTATGTATGTATGCCACACTACCATATATGTACATCATAATCATGTTTTAGCCTTTTTTTTACATTTGTACATAGACAGGCCTGTTTGCAAGCAAGTAGACAGCTCTGGCAGCCAGGGGCCAGATCCTGGCTCCACATCAGCCACTTTGCGCTCTCTGATACCACCAAAATTGCCCGAAGCACAAGAGAACTTTTCATTGCAAAAGACATTTTGCTTGAATGATAACTTAGCATCTAATTACTCAATGATTTCCATGTGCTTACAAAAATAAAAATAAAAACAAAGATCATGCATTTTATTTCAGAAAGCTGCATTTATGCTAAAGAAATGAAAAGCATGAAGGATAATAAACCAGTAAATATCACTAAATTAAGCTGGAAGACAGAAGAAATATTATTACTTTTGCATTCTCTGAAAGTAACACCCACTTTTAAACCAACAATTACATCCTAAGCAGAGTAGAATAAATTGCTTACTAGACACTTTCTTCTGCCACAGTTTCAACCTAAGATGATTCCTGAAGTAAAATGAAATGCTGTGCCCCTTTGGTTCAGCAATAAGATAGTGCATATGCTAACAGTGAAAAGGAAACAAAACCCTCAAAAGGAAGATAAAGCTGCTGCAATACCTAGTTCTGGACACATCAGAAAGCTAGAATCAGGCCAGGCCCATCTGCCCTATCCTTCCTTTCTGTGGCTCATGTATCATTTCCCTATATTTGCACTTGATAAATTTTTCAGATAAAAGTAGTTTGCCCAAAAGGTCTAATGAGGATAGCTTGATATTCGGACAGGGCACTGATAGGTAGTATCTTATTTTCCTGGATATCTGTTTCTCGTCATAGGAGGCACAGTCTTGTAAACTATTGGAAACCATTAAGAGCTAGCTTAAGTTCCCAGTGAAAGAATAGATGAGATTTGCAGGCAGGTCCAGGCTGTCAGCTGGGACATCAGGCCTGCCAGAGCCCCCGCTCTCCCAGTGAGCCCAACGCTCCTAAATCAGCTAGGCCTATGCTAACGGTAATGGGAAAGGCACCTCATGCTGCCAGAATCAAAAACTCTGCACATCAGAGCAAAGTAAAAAAATAACTCAACCTAAATTAAATATCTCAAAGTGTTTGGCACACATGTAAGGCATGGAAAAGCAAATCAATATTATTGAGAAAACTGCACACTTCACTAACAGTACAAAGCACACATGCTCAGCTTCCTCTCCTGCAGTAAAGACATTTCAGTCTCCACATACGTTCACATCTATTTGGGTTCCAAACACGCATAGTGTTTATTTAAGATTGTTATTTTCATAAACCCACCATAATTATGTCTCTTGAATAATCGCGTGGCTTCTTTTTAGTCCCACTTTCAGTAGCTTATCTAAAACTAGCAAACTATTCCATTTACAAAAAGAAAATCTTTATTTTACCTCACTAAGTGAACATTAGAGAATTGGATAAAGTATGTAAATGGTACCATTTAAACCCCTAAAGTAATACCGACATAAATATAATGGATGAGGTATTTAAAAGTGACATATACTTAAAGAGAAAAGCTTTAAAATCCAATAGCCATTTTAGTTAGTGGTCTTCAAGTGGCAAGCTACAAAACAAGCATAAGAGATGTGACAATCATTTCCTTGGGAAACACATTGTTTTTTAAAATGACACCTACACAATTTTTTTCTTTTTCTGGTAACTTAGAAAAATACATTAAATGGAATATTTGCTACCAGTTAAGAATTTCTTTGAAGGACTTTTACTCTTCTAGGTCCCAATACACTATGCTTCCTCATATATGCATGCCATTTAAAAATATATTAAAATCTTAAAGTGCGAGTAAAGCACTTGTTTAAGTACTCTTTTGTTCAGAAACTTTCATGACCATGTGCTGAAATAATAATAAAGCAATATATGAAGAAGATGCACGCTACCCATCGTCATTCATCCCCTCTCATATATGAAGCTTTGTCCAGGCAGCCTTATGCCTGCAAAGCGTAGTGTTTTAGGTCAGTAAAGTTTTTCTTGTGGTGACTCAAGAACTTGATGGTCAAAAAGGACACTGTAAGGGTAACTTAACTAACTGAATTAAGGTACATTTTGCTTCTGAATTTGCCCAAAGGATTGTTACAATGAGAGGGATTTGGATGAAATGAAGTGCACAGCATGACACGGCATTAGATCTAGAGAAGAATTTATTCTAGAATCAGGATTGGGTTTTCTTTTTCTTTTAATCTAGGTTTTTGTTTCTTTGTTTGCTTTGTGGCCTTAAACCATTGACTTTTAGCTTGTCTGTATAGTGTAATCAAAATATTTCAGCTCCAGTTCTGCCAATTCCTACTTCTATGTGAACTCCTTATAAGAAGTCATTGAAGTCACTTTTATGGAACTATGCAGAATGCATAAGTAAATGCATACAGGTGTGTACCTGTAAATCTTTGCAAAGCCAGGACCTG